AAGTTTCAAATGCTTGTTAATTTCCAAAGCACAAAGACTTTATGTCTGAGCAATAATTCATGAATTATAAAGCTTAAAAAAAGAATTACACAGCAGCAAAATTATAAAATGTGTATTCACTTTGAGAGAAAACATGGGCTATCTTCTTCCTGTGCTAGATTATGTTGGCTTAACATCCTCTCTAGTTGAACAATTGAATCTGTTTTCTTTCAAATAACAGGATTTCATTATTCATTTAGACCGAATTGAAATGTACACATAGTATATTTGTTTACCCTTTCCTCTATTGACAGACACCTACATTGGTTCCATATTTGACCAACTGTACAGAATACCATGTATACACAGATACACATTTATTTCATATATATGCATGAATTGTAGTTAGGTGGCATAATCCATCTGCTTTTAGCTTCTTGAGCAAACCATATAATATGTTTTTGTAGTGGTACTTATCATCTACAATGAGTATCTCCATTTCCTTTAACTTTTGTAGAATTTGTGATTATCATTATTGATTATATTCTTTGATGTGGTGATATGGCAGTTTTGATTTGTATTTTCCTGAGAACTAAAGAGGCTGAACAATTTTTGTTTGCTAGAATTTGGAAGTATTTTGAGAAGGGTCACTTATACCTCTCCCTGTATAGCTGGGATTCCTTGACCTTTTGTGGTTAACTTTCAAGTAAATTTTCTACTGTGAATATTAAGGCCAAGTCCGATGAGTAGAGTGTTTTCACTCAGTTTGCTGTTTCCTTTCTGAGTAAATGGATTTTTAATATTACACAATCTCATTTCTCTATTCTTACTTTTGTTTCCTGAGCTATTAAAGTGTTAGGCAGGAAACCATTCCCCAAATCAATATCTTGAATTGTTTTTCCTATATTTTGTAGAAGTTTCTAAGTTTTTCAGAATTACATAAAGTTCCCTGATACATTTTGATTTGATGTTTTATATGGTGAAAGGTGCTGGTCTGATTTTGGTCTTCTGGATACACATATCCCAAGAACCAATTATTAAACAGGATATTTTCCTCCAAGTTATATTACTTTTCAGCTTTGACCAGAACAGATTGTTGTGGAAGTGTGGATTTCTGTCTGGGACGTCTACTCCAGTGATTCTCACTACTATTTTACGGCAATGTCACATTATTTTTTAACTGTGGCTCTGCAGAATATTTTGAAATTAGGAATTGCAGTACCCTCAGCATTTCTATTTTTTCCCAAGATTGCTTTGGATTTTGCTATATTTTGTGTTTCTATAAGAAATTTACTATTTTCGTCTGCTCCATTCAGAACGGAATTGGTGCTCTGATTCTTTACATCACTGTCACTAGTTCTGTCATTTTCCAAAACATTAATTCGCCCTATCTACGAGTATGGGATGTCTTTCCTTTCTTAGTGTCCCCTTCAGTTTATTTCTTCGATGTTTTGCAGTTTTAATCGTAGAGATCTTTCACTGTCTTGATTAGGTTTCATCATGGGAATTTTGTTTTTTCAGGGTCTTGCAAGAGAATGGTTTTCGTCATTGCTTTTTTTAGTGAGTTCATCAGTGTGTGTGAAAGATAGTGGTTTATCATATTGACTTTCTATCTTTCTGAATATGGCGCTTCAGCCGTTTCCAAGCACAGGGTTGTTTTATCTGCACACAGGGATAACTCAACTTGTTCCTTTCCTATCTGTTTTTCTTTTCTTTCTCTCTCTTGCCTTATTGATTTTAAGTGCTTAAGATTTCAAGTTCCATATTGAGTCAGAAAAACAATGTTGAAAGTCAGGCTTCCTGGACTTTTATTGATTTTAGAGGATTGTTTTTAATTTTTACATCACTGGGTATTATATTAGACATGGGCTTTTTATATAGATCTTCATTATATTGAGGTGTAAAGTGTAATCCTTTATAATGAAAAGTGCTTGAATCTTGTCCAAAGTTGTTGGTTTTTCAAATGTTGAGACGGCCATGGGGCTTTTATTCTTCATTCTATTTTTGTTTTACAATATTTTTGTTAGTTTATTATGTTGAAACATTTTCATTTCATAAGTGAAACAAAATTGAACACGTTATATCTTTGTAAAATTTGATTTGAAAGCATTTTACTTTTTACAATATTTTCTTTATTATTTTTGTTTTATGTGTATGAGTGTATTGCCTGCATGTAAGAGAGTGCACCTGTGTCGTGCAACGCCACAGAAGTCAGAAGAGGGCTTCGGAGTCATTTCGTGGCTGCCATGTTTGGGGATCGAACTTGGGTCCTCTGCAGGAGCGGTCAGTGCTCTTAACCGCTGAGCCATCTCTCCAGCCTCGGCTTGAAAGTATTTTATTGAGGATCTTTGTGTCGATGTTAGTCATGACCATTCAGCTGTATAGTGTGCGTGTGTGTGTGTGTGTGTGTGTGTGTGTGTGTTTGTGTGTGTGTCCATGTCCTTAATCAATTTTGGGTGTCACATCATGCTGGCTTTGTGGAAGTTTGAAGGCATTCCTTGTCTTTCATGAAAAAGTGTGAAGAATATCAATGCCATTTCTTTTTGGAAATAGTCAAGTTCTTTTTCCTTATGGCCCGAGCATTTTCACCATTAGGAAACCTTGTAAGTGCTATGATTCCATTGCTTGCTATGCGTCGTGTTCGGTTTTTCACAGCTGGTTGTTTAAGTTTTATGAGGCTGTGCTTTTTGAGAATCTTTTCCATTTCTCTACATTTGTGAATTTGTGTGAAGGTGTTTGGTAACGTGTTCCGTGATGATTTCCTCAGTTTCAGTGTTGTGTGCGGTAAACCACTCTGCGGCTCAGTGCTGTGGTCTGCTCTTCCTCTTTTCTTAGGTTCGTTTGCCTAAGAACTTTCCAATTTTGTTTAGCTTAAAAAAGTCATACTTTTGACAAAGTGTTTATGCCATTCTTATAGTTTATTTTGGTCTGCGTTTCACTGTTTAGCTCTGATCATCAATTTTTTTTTCCTTCTGCCAATTTAACATTTGGATTATTCATGTTTTTCTAAGACCTTGAGATACATTAAAGGGATGTTTGAGAGGACTTGTTTCGTTTTGTTCTGATTGCTTTAATGCCAGGCACCTCTGATTGTGACTGTCATCTGAGATGGCTTTTACAGGAAGTTACTTTTCATTTATTATTTGATTTTAGGAAAATTTTTGCTTCCTACTTTATTTCCTCACTGACTCCTGGATATTTCAAAATGTGCTGTTCAGTTGTAACGTTTTAATAATTTTGTAAGTTTCCTTCATTACTGATATGTAGTTTTAAAAATATTTTGTTATTTTTATTTTGTGTGTATGAGTGTACTGCCTGCATGTGTGTAAGTGCACCCATGTCGTGCAATGCCCATGGAGGTCATGTCAGAAGAGGACGTTGGCTATCTTCAAACTGGAGTTACAGATGGTTGTCAGTCACCATGTAGGTGCTGGGAATCGAACCCGTTCCTCTGCAAGAGCAGTTAGTGCTTTTAACTGCTGAGCCACCTCTCCAGCCCCCTTGATTTCTAGTTTTATTCCATTATACTTTCACAAGATATAAAAGTAGAAGTTTCATTTTGTGGACTTAAATGTGATCTATTTTAGAAAAAAGTTCCATGTGCTAATGAAATCAAAGTATAATCTGCCACTGTGGGATGAATTATTTCTAGATGGCTATTATGTAAAATCAATCTTTATCATAATTAAATTATTATGTTTCCTTGATTTTAGATTCCATTTACTTACAATCCCATCGTCTAACCTTTCATTTTCAGTGTGGATATTTTTGCTGCTGTTAGTTCTTGCAGACAGAAATCTGTTCTGTTGTTTTCTAATATCTAATCATCTTGTCTATAGTTTTTACATAGAGAATTAAGAACATTTAAATTCAGGGTTATTAAACATATGTTCCCAATTTTACCATTCTTTTATTTATATGGGTGATTTTAACCTTCTGTGCTCTCGGTTTTCTCTCTCATTCTTCTCAGAGTCTCCGTGGCTTGCTTACCCCTACTTGATGCTTTCTCAATGCTTACTTACTTACTTGCTTGTATTTTGGCTGGATTCTTCTTCCTGCAGTCCCATGACTGTGTCTGTGCTCCTTATTTTTGTACTGGATTCCTTTCAGTGTCTTCTGAATTATTTATGTTCTTTGTTGACTACACCACAACATGGACATGTTCTTTTTGTTCTACTATGGGTTTTAGAGTTCTTCGTATCATTGGATTGCTACATTTCACCATCTTTTGGTATCTGCTGTTATTTTATTGAATAGATCTTGTTTGTACTGCTGCTCCTTCTTTAATATATGCTACTCAGATTTGTAGATTGAGGTGATATTTTTGCATTTTAATTTTTCAAGGTTTTAATAGAGAATTTTTATTGTTGTTTGACAATTTCATATATATTTGCAATAATTTTAGTATTTTCAGCACCATATTTCCTTCTTTAAGATCCCTTCCTTTTCCCAAGTCCTCTAATTCCTTCCTCTTTCTACTTAATTTTGTGTGTGACTCACAGTTTAATTAGAATTTCTTGACTCAGCATGAATTATTTGCTGGAGCAAGGGCAACTTATCAGTGGCTACACACTGAAGAAAATAATATCTTCTAACCCAACGACCATTAACTTTCAACAGTTCTTCAGAGAGGCCTCGTGGATTCTCATGGGCCCCTTCTCTACCCACCATGAAATGACAAAGGACCCAATGTACTTCATGGCTTATGCAGCTATCCAGAGTTGCAGTGAGTTCAAGAGGACAAAGCAGTGTCATATTCAGAGAACACATTTTTGCTGCACATCTCCCCATTCTCAGGTTCTTACTCTCTTTCTTCCCCTTCTTCTGTAATATTTCCTAAACTTTAGGGATATTTGTTCTTTTAATCATGTCCTACTGACTTGTATAATTTGGTCATAATTTTTATCCCTCTTGTTAAATTCTAAATGTGATATTGCATCAACCATGCTTTCAGGTCCTCATATCCTTTCTTTAGTTGAACTTAAATATTGGGCTATTTTGGCTTACTATAATCTTAATTAAAAACTATAAAACATTTCATAAATTTTTGTGTCATTTTCCACAGGGCCTTATTAACCTTCTCTGTTTTGTTCTAATTTCATTAGAGAGACTGCCAAAATGAGCACTATTATGGGGATTTTTGTTGTTGTTTGTAATCAATTAGAATAAAGTCTGTAAATCCACACTTGTGAAAATACCATTACTGCAAGCAGAAACTTTGAAAACAATAAAGCATCATGCTGTATTTTGAAAAACAGATGGGATCATATTGATAACATCTGTTCGTGGTCTTGTATGCTGGATCAGTAGGGCTCAGAAAAGAAAATGCTTCTCTAAGAGAAGGTTCCTATTTTCCTTCCCCATTTCATGATGGATAGACTGTCTCAGCAAAGAGAGAGAAAGGTCATTTTTGTAAGTACAATTCTAGGAGAAATCTGAAGGAACAAGTTCTCAGAACAGATTAGGCCCCACTCTGGGTTTTAATGGATGCGAAAAGTCAGGCTGTTTCAGTTCAGGCAACAATATAATGTGGAATTGCAATGTCAAAATTATGACGTTCAGAAATATTTCTTCAATACAATTTAAAATGCAAACCTTATTGGAAAAAAATATTGTAAACTGATAGCTTGAGAAATTAAATGAAGTTGGAGGAAGAAGAAAAGAAGGCAGTTCATTAGTTAGTTGGTTTGGATACTAAAGTTCTTAGTCACAGATGATTAGTTACAGCAAAGGTTTATGCTTTTCATTCAAGTGAATGCTATCAGCTACCCCTGTTGAGCTGCTTTTCAGTCTTACATTTATAGCAGGCATTAACTTTTATTCAACTTCTGTTAGTATGATTTCAATAGTATTTTAGGAAGAAATTACCCAGTATCTAAATGTTAGACTTAAGTCAAACACAGCTATTAAAAGCTCTGCTATAATAAAAAAGAAGAAATACATTTTATATATCTATTAGTAAGTTTTAATGCTGTATTAATTTTATATAATATATGAATAAAAATATTCATTTTTTAATTCAATAATAATTTGCTGAACTAACTTTCAATGAAATGACTGAATTTATAGTGATTGCACCATGGGAAGGCTCAATAGATAAGACCTTTTGCTGTACAAGTCTGATGACTTGAGTTGCATCCTTGGAACCAGCAGTTGAAGGAGAGAGCAGACTCCCAGAGTTGCCCATTGTCCTTCACATGCATGCTATGACATGCACATCCCACACTCACATATGTACATGATCATTAATAATAATAACAGCAAAATAATAAATTTTAAATAAGATTCATATTGATCATCTACAACAGGTTTAGGGGAAAATAATGTCTGCTTTATTTTTCTTTAACCAAAAAAATACATTTTGCTCAATTTTATTGAGTTTTTTCTAACATTCTGAACATTAATATTTTACAACAAAATATTTTCTTTCAGGTTGTTGATGCAATTTTTATTTACACAGTATTTAGAATACTGTATCATTTGATACATGAGTTCTGAAATTGCCAGTTTATAATATTTTCCAATAAGGTTTAAGCTTTTTGATTTTTAAATTTTATTGAAGAAATATTGGCACTGCAATTCTGAAACAGCCTGATCCTTAGCATCCATTTAAAACAAGAGTGGGGCCCAATCTGTTCTGAGAACTTGTTCCTGCAGATTTCTCCCAGAATTGTACTTGAAAACAAAGGCCGCCTTTATTGAAACAGTCTATCTATCATGAAATGGGGAAGGAAAATAGGAACCTTGTCTTAGAGAAGGATTTTCCCTTTCTGACCTCTACTGGTCCAGAGTACAGGACCATGAACAGATGTTATAAATCTAATCCCAACTGTTTTTCAAAACACAGCGTGATGCTTTGTTGCTTTCAAAGTTGCTGCTTTCAGAAATGGTATTTTCACAAGTGTACTTTTACAGACTTTATTCTGGATCAAGGACATAGAAGTTTCTTGAGGGATGGGAGGTATGTTTAGATTATAAGCAGAGACCGCAGCCTAGTAAGTTTGTTTACACTGTAAACAAACTGAGATATTGTTAAATGATCTCAAAATATACCATCTGTTTTGGTGACAAGGTTAGATAAGAGTTCAATTGTCCAGAAAATTCATCCCCACAGTTAATAGAGTTGTCTATCAATTTATTCAGCACCTCAAGCCCTGCAGGCTGTGGATCACCCTTTGAGTGAGCAAGTACATCGTGTAGGAATGCTGGAATGCTCTAATTTTAATTCTAGGCCAATTCAGTGTGTTCTTCTGCCAAAACTGTACTCTTTTCACTGAAACGTGAACAGATTGTTGAACTGGAGAATGACATGATGTTCCTCAGTGGTATCATGTTGTCACTTTCTAGAGACCACTTCTGATGACTAATTCTTTGTAGCTACTCGATAGGATAGGATGTAGTTGAGGGATTAATAAAGCATTGTTGTGGGGATTGAGAGTATTTCATTAATTAAGAAGACAGGCTGAATGTGAACCGTACCTCCAGGGTAAGAGCCCAGAAGATGCACTGATGGCCATCAAATACAGAATTGTGTTCTCCTGTGCCCTGCCATCATGACGGATTGAAACTCCTGAAAACATTACTATTCTGTTTCATAAACATAAACTTTTACCAACACTACTCTACTGTGAGATAGGTCAGAATGACATAATATTTAACTATGGAAGTAAAAATTTGAAGAAATAAATCAATAACAGATATATATCATGAACATATCATATTACTCTAAATATAGCTGTCTCTAAATTTTCATACGCAGACATTTGTGTACTTTCTTCTTTTATTTTTTAATCACTTCATGTGATACATTCTCAATTTTCTGATAACTTAATACTAATTTTCATGTATTTATAAATGGCTTATTTTGTCTTTATAAAGTTTTGTATCTTCACATTGAAAGGGTATTTTATAGATTTATACTTCTGTAATAATGTTTCAGAAACAAGCATTTGTGTGTGGAGTAGGAATCAGTTTCTCACTTCATAAGAAAATAGACCCTCTTTTTTTTTTTTCTAGAGCAGTTTTTGGTTTGTTTGTTTTTGTTTTTGAGGTCTCCAAGTCATTACTTTTACAGCCCATTTTTCTATCATATAAAACAAAACTCCATTCTCTACCCATTCCTCACTTCTTAAAGACACTGCAATATTTGGGGTCTATGTATTAAGGCAGCAGCTGTTCTCTATGTCCTAATGGGTATTGGTCTGCATAGGCTACTTCGACCATACAACACGGACTGGATGGTTGGGACAGCAGACATTTAGTTTGCACAGTTCTGGATGCTGCTGAGATTAAGTTTGAGGTGTCTGTGGGTGCAGATCCTGAGCAAGGTGCTCTTTCTGTGAGACTTATTTTCTAATCATGTTCTTACAGAGTAAACAGAGTTTTGGTCCCAGTCCCTCTAGGTTGATCATTCTTAATCTCACCTAAACCTCCTTACTCTTCAGACTCCACCTCCAAATGTCACCACAGAGTGTTAGTTCTTCAAAATATAAACGTGTGGGACACTTTAGCTCATAACATGCGTGGTTAATTTTTTTTATTACATTTGGCACTCAGTATATCTTAAATTAATGTCTAAAAGTACGTAATTTTAGCATCAAATTCTTCAGAAAATCTATGTGAAAATTCTTTGAAATTTTTTGTATGTTTTCACCTTCATAAGGCATATATGAAGTACATTCTTCATAGCAAGGGCAAACAATGAATAAGCAAGTGATTCAATTAATTGTTATTGGTTGCGTAATCAAAGGTTTAGAATAGTAGCTTCTACATAATATTTTAATTTAGTTAATTTCTCTACTTATAAGTGTTTATTACCTTGTATACATTTTATCCTTTTAATGGTAGAGGAATAAAAACTAAATTCCCACACTTAGAACTAGCTTCATCAAATAAGAAGCAATTTGTTGAATAATATGTTTAAAATGATGAAAGGAAAAATTAGTGATGGAAATGAGATTAAGAGAGAACGAAAAATGTAAGAAAAGAAAGCCATTTTTTATTGTATGAGGGGAAACAATTTTCTAAATGAAAAGACTACCAAATTTTGAAAGAGGGCATAATGTATTCTATTGAAGTTTATATAATCTGTTGTAGGAAATATATAATGACACTAAAACAGTAATACAGGATAATTGAATTAAACGTGATTACTGAATTGTTTTAAGTTACTGCTTGATTCATGATAACCAAGGTAATTAATGAGAGGTGATTTGATTAAATATTTGGATTTCTTGTCAATTTCTACAGTGGTTTTACTGGAGTGAGAGAAGAATATAATCACAGCAAATTGGTTAAGTTTTGACCTTAAGATTTATTTATTATGGGCCAGGCAAATTTAAAAAAAATAAAAAATAAAAAATTATGAGCTAAATATAGATAATTAGGAGAGACAAATACATAGAAAAACTTTGGGGTCCTGGCCTGGAGACTTTAATTTAGTTAAGACATCAATATTATCCAGAAAAATCTACAGACGAAATTCAATTACTATGAAAATGACAAAGTCATTTTTTGTAATAATGGTAAAGAAGCTTCAAAATTCTTAAGGAACCACGTGTGTCCATGAATGACCACGGTTGCTTTTAGAAGAATTTGCATTTATGGACATCTGTAGAACTTCACTAATCAAAACACAATGGTTTTAAATAAACGTGCACAACAGGACAATTGAATAGAATAGAGAACCCAGATTGCAGCCCCCACAGATACAGTTAATGGATCCTCAGCAAGAATGCTATGAATCTGAAATTGTGAAGAAAAATCTCTTTAACAAATGGCCCTAGGGAAACAAGATATCCAAATGCAAAAGAACAAAATTAGAGCTCACTTTTCATCATGCACAAATATGAAATCAAAGTAGGTTTAAAATTGAATTGTCAGTATCAGAAATACAAATATTGCATTTTCTCTCATCAGTGAGTCCTAGATTTATATAAATACATAAAGACATATGTGCAGAGACAGGTCAGTAGAAGTAATGCTTTCTGGGAGGAACATAGGGGGTTAATGGGTGAAGGGTCAGAAAGGAATGTGCCAAAATGTGCTCAGCAATATGTTACATATTTTCATGAAAATGGCTTTATGTAACCCAGCTAAAATTTTTTTAAACTTATATATAAAACCT